AAATTACATAAATTCAAACCATAACCAACAGGTGAAAAGGTGAGAAAACTTTTTACCTTTACAAATTAGGCCGGTGGGCCGCGTTCCACTTTTTATTGTTCATTTTAACATATCTCAAATCAAACATCTCTTAAAATATGCACAAATATTTTCCTTTTAAAAAAATATGAATAAGTTGATCAAGAGCTGAGGGAGATAATTATTACGTCTTAAATAGTTAATAGTTAATGTTATATTTTTTAATATAATTATATATTATATTTTTATATTATATTTTTTAAAAAATTAAAAAAATAAAATAATTAATTAAAATAATAATATATTATATTAATAATTAAAAGTGTGGCATATCATCGCCCTCAGAAGATATCCTTGCTATCCAAATAAATACAGACAAAAGTGAACACATAGAAAACAAGTAAACTAAAAACACAATGTTTTTTATTGATGCCCGAACACCAACCCAATTATCCACCAATCAATATCTCCACACACATTTTCTTTGCCAAATAAATTATCCAAATCTCCACAATCTATATACACACCCACCCTTGCACTGAAAAATTTTAAAAATAAAAAATTACAAAATAAATAAAAGAAGAGAAAAACTAATCCATTGTTTTACCAACCCGTCGGGCACGTGGATGACAACTGTACTACAAATCCCCCACCGGCGGTTACAGGCCCACTCCTTTTCAGCCCCCCCAGGCCCACCAACGAAAAATAACAAGGGCATTTTCGTCATTCAAGAGAGAGGTTAGGATACCGTGCACACCGCCTAGAGAGGAACACTTTGCACTCGTCTTGGGGACAGATTGTTGGGGTGTACATGATCTTATCACAGCCGTCTGTCTCGTGCCTCTTGAAATCAAGCAACGTGGCAAACATCGCGATGAAGAGGACCAGGTGATTCAGTGCGTACCGCTGGCCCACACACTGGTGGGCCCCAGCGCCGAAGGCCAGGAAGCTCCGTTTGAACGCCACGTCCTCCTGCCTCTCGTCAGAGAACCGTTCCGGGTCGAACCGGTCCGGTTTGGTGAATCCTTGAAACGACGAGTCGTAGACACAGGGAAACACAATCGTTCCCTTGGGAATAGTGTAAGAGTCGGTCAACGGGACGTCCACCGCCGCAATGTGCGGCACTAGCGTTGCCGGCGGCCTGTACCTCACCACCTCACGCGCCACCGTCTGCGTGTACTTCATGTCTCTCAGTTGGTCGGCGTTGATTAATTGATCGGATTTTGGTGACCATATTCTCGAAACTTCTTCTCGAACTTTACAAAGGACCTCCGGATGCGAATAGAGGAGCGTGACTGCCCAGAGGAGCGACGACGTGGAGGCATCCTGTGCGGCGAAGAGGAAATCAAAGAGGTAACTGCTGATTTCAGTGTCACTGGAGTGTGGCGGCGGCGTTTGGGACTGTGCGATTTCTCTGACAAGCTCCTGCATCCAGAAATCAATTAAGCATGAGGGCTCTTCTCCCTCCGCCATTATCGATTTGCTCTGAGCTGCGCAAGTAGTTAGGGTTGTGACAAGGCGGTCAACGGCGAGCCTGGCGTTTCGGAAAGCGAAGCCGGGGAGATCAATTGGGAGCTTCATCAGTCCATTGTTGAAGAAGTTATAATCCTCTCTGAATCTATCTCGAGCTTCGCGAGACAGATACTTACCGATAAACACTGTCTGGGAAGTTTCCAGATTCATTTCGCGGACCAGAAGCCGGAGAGCAATGGGCTCCGGAGCCGACTCCGACGAGAGACGCTCCCACAGCATCAAGTGCTTGAGAATGATGACCTGCTGCAGCGCGGTGTAGGTAGCGAGTGCTTTGGGAGTGAAATTCGGAGCGATTTGACGGCGGAGATCCTTGTGATCTTGGCCGAACATATAGATCAAATTATGCTCCCCGAATAGTTTCTTCCCGAAAGGATGACCCACCAGCTCGAAGGCGTCGGGGCGGACGTTGGCGAAGATGAGGTGAGAGAGTTTGGTGTCACGGATGAAGAGGATGAACCTTCCGATTATGTAATTGGCGGAAAACCCAGAGTGCGAGGCGAGCTTGGATTGAAGGTCCCAGAACGTTGTGGGGTCCCGGACGACTGAGACGGCGTTGCCCAAGAAGGGAAGAACAAAGGTAGGACCAGGAGCATTTCGTTTCTTTCTCAAGTAAGAGATCTGCTCCAACAACAGGAGAAGAACGAAAAGGGTAACCAGATATGGAGTTAACGGAGAGAGCAAGGATAGGAGGGAGTCCATGTTTTGCTTGGAAGAGAAAATCGTTTTAAACAACGAGGGGTTTAATTTGAGGTTTATGGAGGAAATCGGGTCAAAGGAGGAATTGTGTCCAAAACCCACAAACCCCCTAAAAAGAAAAAGGCAATGCGGTGGACAGATGGCGTCGCCGCCGGCGGGAATGCAGTGATCCAATGTTGCTAATCTTGGCGGGGGACCAGCCTTCCCCTGAGAAGAGGACGAAAGGGGGCGGATAAATAAAGTGGAATCAAGAACAAGGGGAAATGAAAATGGGCCAAACCCCCAAACTGCACTCTGAACTTTTTTTTGCCCGGGTATTGCACCCTATTGAATTTTAATCCGCAAAGTGCACCTCCAACTTTCATTCCATCCTGAAATCGCACAACTTTAACAGAACTTTCACAAGCTGTTTGGAGTATAGATCATGGGCCATGTAGCTCATTCTATCTGCCTTCTAATTTATTTCTTGATTAGGTTGTTTTGATATCAAACTATGGTGCACTAAGTCAACTGAATTTTTGTTGGTTGAAAGGTGTTTTCTTAGGTTTCTTATAGAGCACTATCTAGTTAAGTAAAAGTAACTATCATGTTCTGAAACAGGATAGATTGTTCTAACAAAAGGGTAAGGGTCAGTCCTTTTCATCTACACTTATAATCAAATGCAAGATGATACAATTTGACTTGCTTTATTTTACCACTCCACCAAACCATTACAAAGAAGGGCAAACATAAGGTAATCATTTATGATATGGACTCAACCCATCACGTAAAAAAAAAAAAAAAGAAGGAGAATAAAGATTAGGACATTTTCAAGGCTACAGGCCATGCTCTCATGATTGGAAGCAACCAAAAAGCAGGATAAATAAAATGAAAAGGCATTAACAAACTTGAGTACACCTGTTTTTCCTTTTTTTTATGATAAACTATACAATAAAAAAATAGTTAAAATTTCAATTTGATCCATTTACTTTGATAAAAAAATCTCTTTTTAGTCATTCTACTTAGAAAAGTCCCTTTTTAATCCCTAAAGTTTAAAATCCAACTCATTTTTAATCTATCTGTTAAGTTTTGATGTTAGATGATAAATGATAGATGATAGATGATAGAAATTTCAAAAGAAAATGACCAAAAAAGAGTTTTTTCAAAGTAAAGAAACCAAATTAAGATTATTTTTAATCCTTTTTTTTATTTTTCTATTTTGAAATTTCTATCATCTAATGTCAAAACTTAACAGAAGCTAAAAAAACAATTAGATTTCAAATTTTAAGAACCACAAAGGGATTTTTTAAGTAAAGAGATTAAAAAAACTATTTATCAAAGTAAATAGACCAACATAAAAATTTAATCATATTATTTCATACCCATCCCACTATTCGAAACTTAAAATACTCAACGTAAAAACTAGGTTCTTAACTATTGATTCGGGAATGTTTCGTAGGGGACACTCATGTTTTTCTTCGAGGAATTGCGACTGGCATTAGAAATTCAAAAATGTGTTTTATAGGTCAAATTAACTACATATTAAAAGCACAATTTAACCTTTTTTTTATTTTTTTATTTTTTGGTGAAAAATAAGAATTAGTATTAATTAAAATAATAGATGCATTTAGGCCCAGGGAAAAGATATCCCCCTAACATCAGCATCCAAAAAAACAACCCAATGCCCTGCGGGCAATTGTCAAAATAAACAAACCCCCGAACAGTATGACCTACTGCAGCTAAATAATCAGCTCACTGGTTTGCCTCCCTAAATATATGTCGAAGACGAACGTGAGGGATTTGAGCCACCAGTTCCTTACATTCCAAAATCATGGTATGAAATGGATGATTAACAGTCATAACTAGAAAGTAACCTAAGCACAATCAAAGAATCTATCTCCACAATAATGTTTTGGATACCCCGGTCCCTAGTAATAATCAGATCATCACGAATCCCCCAAAATTCAGCACCAAGAGTGGAAATAATGCCCACATTTCTGGTAAAACCCCACCACCCATCTACCCAATGAGTCCCTAATCAAGCTACCACAGGCAGCAGCCCCTGAAATTCTCAAGGACAAGCCATCTATGTTTAACTTGAAATACCCATAAGGGGGTTTGTCCCATTTGATATTATTACTAATCAAGGAGTGATTAACAGTATTAGGTAGGGAGAAAGGGAAGTGAACTCCATTGCATAGTTATCATTATC